AAAAACATCGTCAGATATTTATTCAAACATAATATTTCTAGCCAAAACTTTTCAAAGAAGGTTTTTACAATACTTGCAAAGTTTGATAATTGAACTCTGAAAATACACGTTAAAATATAAAAGTTAAAATGGCGGCTGTGATGTGCGATATTTCATGACACCAGAGACGTATTATACGTCTCTGATGACACCGCCGCTCCATTCTCGTTCATTAATTATTTCAAAATACTTGCAAAGTTTGATAATTGAACTCTGAAAATACACGTTAAAATATAAAAGTTAAAATGGCGGCTGTGATGTGCCATATTTCATGACACCAGAGACGTATTATACGTCTCTGATGACACCGCCGCTCCATTCTCGTTCATTAATTATTTCAAAAACGTATTCAGATAACGCATAATATTTCTAATCAGCTTCTTTTATATGAGACATATATACAGGATATGTGACATGTTGACACAAACTAACGAATACATGATCGAATTATCACAGGAAACTCACTGACCAGACTATCGTCACCAGGATCGATATAAGCTGTTAAACAAACACTCATAGTTCAGGTTCCGCGTGATTGCCTTAACAATACAATCATGCGTGAGTTGCCAATATCTGTCAATAACAACTTGATAACACGTTTCACTTCCGAGTTTTAATCACATGCGATATTATAGGACCCATTGCGTAACGTTCGTAGACGTGGAAGAACCCGCTCCCGTGGCATTATAAAACAATCGGTAATTGAAAAATACAACGAAACATGCTTGTTACGATCTAAGGTTTATTCATTACTTCAACGGAACGAAGTTTTGAACACCACGTCCTTAAGCAACGGGGACAGAAAACATACGGAAATCTTATTGCTAAACATGATTCATACAAACACACATTTATTTTTGCCAACAGAGAAAACAAACACGTCTGTGTCTGATCTTTTCCCCGTACACTTGAAACGATACCGTGGTAGCGAACCGTCGTATAGCACTCCAGCACAGGTAAAACATACTTGTGCGGTGATGCGTGAAGTCCCCTGCTGTGTACACTGTTCCGCGGAAGCGGGCTGTCGTAGCGATCCATGACAGGTAAGAGCTACTTGTGCGGTGAGGTGTGAAGTCCCCCCGCTGTGCCCCTAGTCGATCGTCAGTCTAATTGGTGAGTTAGATAACAAGGCTGTCGTGGAAATTTAATTGACGACCTTCTAATTTCCTCAGGATTTGTCCGGATATAATTGACGCACGTCTAATTTCCTAACGCACAACTAATATAAAAAATAAGTCTTGAAATAAATCACGTTGTCGGAATATACTCGTCAAACGTTTAAAAATTCGGATATCGGCGAGCAGATTTGTCATAACAGGGTTACCAGTGTGTTGTCATGGTTAAGTTACAGATAAATCCCCTCAATGGGAATTATTCCTCAAGTGTAATTCATTATAAGTTAATCATTATGACAGATACTTCTGCAAAATTTGTTCAACAAAAAGTACAAAATAAATGGGTCTAAATGCGTTCTCTGGCCTTCCAAAAGTTATACCACGACAATATGATGGTCGAGTTCTGCTTGCAATGTCCAGTTTTGACCATTGAAATATCGGGGAAGCCCCACGTAAATTTAGCGAAGATCTATTTATATATGTCACGTGGTTGTTTCGAAAGTGAGGCAGTGAAGATAACAACAATAGCACGCAGTCATGTGCCATGTCGGACTCAACTAGCGGACAATACTATCATAAATAATTGTTTTCAAGGGTCGTGTATGATGCAAGTGAAGTATTCCTACCTCTATGTTGTTGTTATATAAAACGGTATTGATACCTCGTGCCTGTGATAACTTTTTCATGCATCTTTTTCTTTCGCCGCGATGTTTACATTTGGCCTTGTTGATGATGCACGTGCGGTAAAATTACATCACTGATCTGGGTCAATTGAGAGTTTTAGACTGTCAGGTGACTATTTAGGATTTCTTTAATACGCTGTATAATTATAATTTTTACTCTTAGGGAGTGAATTTCGACAAAATTTGAATCGGTATATTTCATAAGGTATTTTAAACATGCGTATGCCATTTTAGCAAATATGACATTTATTCCCCGACCAGCCCCTTTAACTAACTTCTAATTGAACAGACAAAATGACCTTTTTAACTGGCCAACATTTGTAAAACTACATCCGAGATTAAAAAGGTGATTTGTGCAGGCCAAAATTGGAATTGAACCAGTCATTTTGGCCTGCTGCCTAGGCCTGTTCTTAATGAACATGTGATGGATTTTGAAAAATACCCAGTTTAATGTTCACATGATCAAGTTTATGCTGAAAAATAACTGGTTCTTATGATTAATTTAGATCAGTTTTTAAAGAGACCAGCAAATTCTTTTACAAAAGACTGAAAATATTGTGACTTCCTGTTGCTAGGTAATGGACTTTGGTTGGTTGGTCGACAGGTTTTTCGCCTAAATGATTCCACCCATGGTTGGTTGACAGGTTTTTCGCCTATATGATTCCACCCATGGTTGGTTGACAGGTTTTTCGCCTATATGATTCCACCCATGGTTGGTTGACAGGTTTTTCGCCTATATGATTCCACCCATGGTTGGTTGACAGGTTTTTCGCCTATATGATTCCACCCATGGTTGGTTGACAGGTTTTTCGCCTATATGATTCCACCCATGGTTGGTTGACAGGTTTTTCGCCTATATGATTCCACCCATGGTTGGTTGACAGGTTTTTCGCCTATATGATTCCACCCATGGTTGGTTGACAGGTTTTTCGCCTATATGATTCCACCCATGGTTGGTTGACAGGTTTTTCGCCTATATGATTCCACCCATGGTTGGTTGACAGGTTTTTCGCCTATATGATTCCACCCATGGAGGTTTCATTTCACCGACGAAAGTCAGTGTTCTGTCAGCATGAGGGAAGTTGCCTTCCCTCAGGGCTCATTGACTTTTGTGTCTCATGACTAGCTATAATACCTAAAATGTATAGTACAGCTCTGACCTTGACCTTTAGTTTATGACAATTCACTGGCCCAATTTTATTCTAGACATGTGTTAGGAGTAAATGTCTATATCCAGCAACTGAGCTTGGGGAGTTTATTATACACCATACATCTGTCAACAATGAAGACCATGCAGTCTGACACATGGTATACAGGATTAAGCACTGATTTGAATTAATTTTTATGCATATTTGACCCAGGTTTCAGGTATTGAAATCAAGGTGTTTAATGATATCAAAACACACATAAGAATACCTTGATGAATGTTAATTAACAGTAATACTATTTAACATGATATTGATGTAACAACAGGTGTAGCAGTATAATATAAAGAATTAAAGATGTTCTCACAGTCTTACATGAACGGTTTAACTTAACTGATTTTTTGATATTGTCAACACAAATTTCATAAACTTGACAGAATGTTAAATATAACATTGTCAAATTTTAAATACTTAATAATTTTCAAATTTACCACAATTTCTTTTACACATCATAGTTGATGGAAATTTGATTAACCCCTGTTGGGATCAAAGAAATTTGTTTGCTAAATTGACATTTTTGTTTGTTTGAATTCCTATGTTCTGAGTCTGAAATAGATGGTTGTCTCACTCTGTTTCTACATGTGATAGTATCAACTGGTACTAAAGACATGATTGGTTGTCTACCCATTACAATCAAGCCACAAAAATGAAAACATTGAATTAATTTCTGGTTGTTTTTCGTTAACTTATTGATATAATTCAAATGGTAGTCTAATTGTAATCAATGCGTCCAAAATCGCAATTCACATTTTTTTTTACTTTACTGCTAAAAGGAGTTCAATTTCAGCTGCTGGTTTTATTATCAAGTTTCTGAGCCGTTCATAAAGACCACAAAAAAAGAAATAATACACCTACCTGTAATAGCGAGACTGCAGGTACGTTGAACACACCGCTTTTGAAACATGGCTTGCTGATCCAAAGTCTATAACCTTGACTCTGTAAGGAAACCTTACTGGGTCAACTAACATAATATTTTCTGGTTTCAAGTCCGCGTGGATGAGGTGGAGGCTCTTCAACTTAAGAAGGGCCGTCAAAACCTGCTGGGTAATCGGACGGATGTATTTCAGGGGTAATGGCTGAAATTTATTCTGTTTCAGAAAATCATACAAGTTCTGCTCCAACATTTCAAACACCAGACATGTATGATTTTTGTGCTGGAAGCACTCAAATGCCCGCACAAAGTTGAACTCGTCTGCATTTTCATGACTGAGTCTTGTCAGTATGCTTACTTCTATTTGACCCTGCCGCGCATATGACGGGTGGTTCTTCAGAATCTTTATAGCAACAATCTCATTGGTGCCCTTCTTCCAACACTTTACTACCTGGCCGAAGGTCCCTCTACCCAGGAACTCCAACACCTCATAGGTGTTGTGGCTGGTGAGCGAGTACAAGACCTCATGCTGCACCAGCTGGTAGTCACCCTCAGTGTTGGAAGAGGACGTCGTCTTTGATGTGGTCGTCGTCGTCGTGGTGGTTGTTGTATTGTTGTTGGTGGTGTTGTCATCCTCGCTCGAGACAGCTTGTGTTTCTGTGAGCTGCATTGGTGCATTGAGATCGTCACATTTACGCTTAGTACCACATCTCTGGTGATAATTATCACGCAGCTTTATAGTCGACGCTCGAATGTAATTATGGGTTTGGTTTTCCAAGTTTGTAAATGCATCCCTGTGTTGTGGGAAAACAAAAGCAGTTGCGCTTGTTACTGCAGTCTCCAGTTGAGACTGATGGGATTTATAATGTGGAATATCCGACGCATAAAATACCGGGCTATGTGGAAGTATTGGTCCTCTTGTTGAAACTACATCATGCAGATCTGGAACTGCTTCCAGCTTAATCTTTTTGAAGTTACTAAATGCACTTATTTTGGAGTTGTAAATGCGAAGGTCTTCTTGCATTAGTAACCCTTGGAATCTGAAAAATCCAAACAATTATTGTATAAAATAATATATCCATCTTAAGGAATGCATCAATTTGAAACACGGTTTACATTATCATATTTAGATTAAAATAGTAAGTAGTACTAGGGTAATTTGTTTTTAATTTCTGCAGTTGATCTGGCCCGAATTTATTTCCAAATTTTTGAAATACTAGATATCAGACATATTAATTTTGTATGATCCACATATTTGCACCATATGAAGAACATTTCACACATGTACAACTTAGTGTACTATGTATATAAATGGACCCAATTACAGGTACAACCTCCTGTCAGAATGCATGCCACTGAGCTGAGCAGATGGACAACATAACATGACTATCCTGTCAAGACTTTTGTTGATATCATGTTAAATTTGTATGTTACTATATATCTGTGTATGTGAAAGGCTTCATTCGTGGTTTGGGATTTAACAGGATTAATTTAATAAACAAGTGTAAGGAATATTAACTATTTTAAATATGTAATCAAAAACTTCTGTCATCAATTTTTCTCAATATCCTACATTGCCCATTGTGCCATAAGCATGCATTGTTCTGTTGTTTTGATTAGAAAGGGGAGATATATATAGCAGTATGCGAGTGTGGTCGCTGCCAAGTATTATACATAAATTCAAATGAACGTTCAACCATGCCTTTATTGCAGAATAGAACATGATCCAAATCACATCAAAACATGACCTGAATGTGTTGGGGGAATACAGTCTATTATAATGGTAAATTTGCCAAGCAAAACATATGACCAGTACACAGCTGTGTACAGCTTAAACTTGTTAACAATAATTGATTCCGATTCATTTGAGATGTAACAAAGCATTTGATTGGTAAATGGAAATAATTTGCTATGGGAACACCACGATATACCACCCAAATATTTCTTATTTGTATATAAAGCCTGGATGGAGATTGTTTATGACGTCATTAACTCCAACACATCATGAAATTGATTATTAATAATGTCACAAACAAAATATCATGACCCAGAAAGGTGTTAACTTTATTCCGCCTGACTTTGACTGTTCCCGACGCCACCAATCAACACGACAGACACAAATATTTTGAAGAAAACAAACAAAACCATCTTAAAATTGTTGTTTCTTCCAGTGATTTTAATCGATATGAATATAGAATGCGGATAACCCTACTTGATATTTGCGTCTTGCCAATACAGTAACTATACAATAATGTGTTTTACCAGCTCCACTCTGTTGTCACCTGTAAAACTCATTTAACAGAGGTCATTATTATTTCAATGCCTCCACCAGGAGTCGAACCGGGGACCTCTGCCTTACAGTGTACTAGTCTTAAGTACTAGTCTTAAGCTCTACCTAATGAGCTAAAGAGAAATCCTCCCTAGCCAAGTTGGTAGGAAGGGGCTAGTATTTTACCAGGCTGGCACTCAATTTGCAGCAGAATAATTATGTGGCCATAAATCTCAAAATACAGTAGGGTATATTCTCTAAATATATAAGCAAGTACTTAAAATGAAGAAATATTTTTGAAAATTGTATAAAATAAAACATATTTTTTAAATTAATCATGATGACCTTAATTACCTTGCCAGTTATTATTCACAATAATTATTAACACATTTTTCATGACAATTAGGCCACTAGACAGTTACCATAATGAAGTGCGGTGAAATACATATTAGTCAGGGGGATAGGTCAAAGGTTGAGATGTTGGCATTTCATGGAGATGACTATGATTTACATGAAATTTTGGATATGGATCTCCATTCAAGAGGAATTAAAAACCATGTTTAACCTATTGTAGTTATAGTTCGCCTTACATGAAAGAATATGTTACTTGTTAAAAAAAATAGATCTCATAACCACAACATAAAATGTATTGATAATTCAAGTCTGTATCCATATTTCATTTATATACATGTTATATTGGCATCAATCCACCAAATGAAATATAAATAAACAAGGGTCTCGAAACTTGATAATTTCAGCAATTCAAACCGTGTTTCATAAAATCCATAACAACGTCGAGTAGATCGCGTAAACACCTGGACCGAACCTTAAATGGTAAAACACTGCGCTGTGTTACTCAGCACGTTGTGTTGTTGACTCCGGTGTCTGTCTGTATACATGTTTACAATCGATATTGGTCCAGCAAGGTGCATGTATATCATGGATTCCATAGATCGGTTTAGGGTTCCGACATTGCTGTCTTAAACATTTCTATCATACAACAGCAACTAGTCATAATATGATGTTATTATTATCATCATATTATCGAAGCCATGCGCACGAAATAAGGAAACATCCGTCAAAACACGCGGCATAACCTTGAGGCGAGGATGACCCCATTTCCAAAACACAGTTAACAATGTTTATAACACAAATACACCGACATCGACAATAGCCTTATTACGTTTGAAATTATATAATAAACTTACCTTCTCTCCTTGAAAGAAAAGTTAAGAGAGAAAATACGTTGTTTTATCTTATAATGACCACTATTCCAATCCCGTCATATCAACAAAGCAGTCTCGGTGTGCGTGTTGTAATTCCTCTCCATGTGTTGTTCTTTTCCGACGTTGTAGAACACTTCTTCATTAAAATCACTACGGTAATAAGTATCCCCCGTGTTTAAAAGTAAAATTATGTACAATAAGCTTCTACAACCCCCGAAAATTTGGCTCAATTTGAGCCATTTCTTTATAAGCACATCGTATTTCCTTGCTTTCGGGGGATCAACTCGAGTTCAGGTAGAAGGCTCGTAAGGGAAACGTGTGTGAGTTCCGACAAGATGGCGAACAATACCTTCACATAGTTTCGGTTGTTTACAATGAAATATTCATTTGATTTATCCTTTTAAAGGTTTTATGAATTTAAGAATATATTATTTTGTGTACCATGTAACGTTTTATTAGTATGTCTGTAACTTTGCATACAAAATCGAAACAATTTTGCATGATGTGGTCTAAATCCGACAGGAAGTCCTTTCGTGTCGGTGAGGATAATGCAACCACGTGATCTCATGGAAACCAGTGTCGAGGAAGAAGGGAGGATATAGCCAATCAAACGAGGTCGTGACAAGTGCGCTTTTTATGAACATATCTACAGGTTGTTTTTGACATGGAAATTAAATTGAAGAATCGAATAACGTTATAAACTTTTTTTATTTTCAAACAATATAAGAGAATATTTGGTGGTCAGGGATTCATTCAGGGAATGTGGATTCATATTTTGGAGCGGAACCTGTGGATAGCAGTAACAAAGTACATTAACAGTTAGGCGCCTGATATTATTAGGGGTATTTTTTTTTGTATTACTATTATTATTCATTATTGACAGAACTTCAGGCTCCTATGGTAGGGATAGCAACCGCTTTGACAGGGATTCAGAAGATATTGATTCAAATGTATTAATTTAGGTTTTGGGGCGAATTGTCTGACACCCATATATGTACATTGGTAGGCCTAATAACTTACGTACTTCTGCGCATTTCCGCATTATTATACTCGGAAATAAATCGTGACAAGATACCAGAAACTTTTTTGTCGTATATGTGTCACGTAAAAATAGCTCTGAAGGGCTATTCTTACGACAGAACATATAAAAATATCACAGTGGGCATAATGTAACAAAACACGCATTAAGAAAAAAAGCACAACTGATTGAAATCAGGACAAGGCATTCAGCAGACAGTTGTAAACAGATAGTGCATGGACAAATGGGGCCATCCCAAGTGTGGATCAGCCTCTGGAATTCTGGAAAGTATTCACATTTCCGTAATTCATTCGGTAGGCTGTTCCACACCCGGGTTGCCCCAAACGAGAATGATTTTTTTGTCCATACCTGACAGAGTTTACTGCTGGGATGTTTACTGTCTTTTCATTCCTGAAAGTATAAGAAGTCTCTTTTAGTTTTATAAAATCCTCTAAATATTCAAGAGATATTTTATGTACAATCTTAAGTTCTTCACATCCCATACTCTTGAGTCTATTTACATGACATTTTCCGTGACATCTCGAAATCGAGACCGACGTAACTGTCACATTCACTTGTTTACAATAATGACATATTTTTTTTAGAAATTACGTTGCTGCTTTATTTCATATAATTATTACTTCGAGAAGAAAGCATATGAAGCATTATTTTGTCCAATATTGATTAATGTAAATAAAGATCTATATATGTATACATCACGGACTACGATGGTATACATGTAAATGTACATTAGATATAGGTCCTCGTTCTACGTAGAGTAGATCTAATTAAGATCAATCATATGATGTTTCGGGAGAAAAACAATAAAACAGCATTGATTTCGTAAAAGTATACAGGGAAAAGAAGCATTACTTCTATTTTAGTAGTTAATTTGGTCACGGAATAATTAGCTATCTAAGTCCGTGATTTGGTTTAACATCTATATTTATATTGGCCACTTTGAACATTTTGAGTACGTATAGCTCACAACTCATGGCAATGTGTTTGTGGAACAGTGATATTTTAAATTTACATACCGATGTACAATAGGTGCTAGAGTCATTTGCGCGAGACATTTATTTACATGTTTCCAACATTCCATTAATCTACACGTCGATCAGTGGTAATAAGTCTACATATGTTGTTTTATTATCATAAGTTGAATCATTCCATCTCTGTAGTTGTCATCAATCAAACTTTTTTTGTTAAATCGTTTAACCTATTGCCTCACAATCTTACTGAATAAACATGTATACGTAAAAGATTAACAACGGTATCATATAACGGAAATCTTGGAAACATTTGATATTTCGATAATTACCGTAATAAACCCCATCTCCCTTTTCTTTTAACAGTTGTTACTATAACCCCAAATAGTACCCTCTGTGTGGCCGTCCTTTTACATATATCATGATTCAAG